AACTGCTTGTACATTTTACTGGTTTAAAAGCTTTTTTATTTCTTCCAATCAAATTTGAACTTGTTTGGTTAGCTATATGCTTATGTAATGTTTCTACGCATTTGTTTATTCAATTCTCAATTTATTGAATGAACTGATAGTATTGCTCATGAAGGTTTGGGGACCTTTGAATAATTCTAAACTTCAGGAAAGGATATAGCTTAAAGCCAATAACCATCAGAAAAGATGAGATTATAAGCATGAATACTATGTACTTGATAATACAATACTGGAGCTTGAGAATATAATGTGACAATTTTATGTGTGATCAACGTTAACAAGACCACTTCACGACAAGTTTTTGAAATCATTTCAAAATAATTAGATACCTGTAGATTTATATAGTTTCTGATAGTGTTATTTTCATTCCCAATAAGGTTGTTGATCTACATTAGTTTCTTTTGAAAGCTATAAGACTATTGTATGATAAGACATCAGATATAGAGATTTGGGTTTAGCAAGTGTGGTAAGCTAGCCTGTAACAGCGTACTATTTGTATGACACACCTTTTCTGTCGAATATATTAAGTTAGTATATTCAAACAGGACACAAACATTATATATACTGGTCTAAACTGAAATATTTTTAGCAAAATATCATGTTATGACGACATAAGAATTTACACTAATGTCATTTTGAAAGGTGATGTTATTGTTTACTGATAAATATTTGCAGCTATACTGTGTTTGTATGATTTACTGTGGAAAGTTGGTTGCTTTAATAATCAACCAATAATAAAATAAATAGTCTGAATTGAAAGTTTTTTATTGTTTTTTGTTTTTTCAAAATTGGTTTATACATTTTTTTCTAAATTTCACTGTCTAAACTACCATACAAATTCTATAAAAGTTTTCCTACAGAAGTCAGGCATCATTTGAAAAGTATTTTCACTGGATATGGTGAACTGAGCACTTAAAGTGGGTTAATTTTCTAGTTTATAGATGAAAAATATATATATGTGAAGTCTTGACATGTCTTTAACAACCCCTTATTAGACACTTTTGTGGTTGTTATCAGCAAGCACTGGCAGAAATTACTTCACACTCTCAATACTTTGTAATTCTTAATTCTTCAGTCATTCAATTGGACCTTCTGAAGGTCCTTAAACTGAAGATGCATCTCCTAATATGTCACTACCGTATATGCAAAAAGAGAATGAACTCCGTTCAGCTTCCCAGGGTTATTACCAAGCATGACTTTCGATATACTTGAAGAAGATATTTGTTTGAGTTGCAGGAACAAAGTGTAAAATGGATATCTGTCAGAGAAATATGTTATCACCAGTACTAAACACTCTCTTTCTGTAAATCTCAAAGCAGGATATTTGTATTGTGTTGTATAACAGTATATTTCATATAACCATGCAAGTGTCAACTACCAATCATTCAGGCAAATCAAGATTTCCTGTTATGTGTTAACTACTTGTGCTCATTGTAGTAATATTTATTATAACAGAAAAATTCCATGTAGATTCATTTATAACCAACTTTTAAATGGATGGTTGAAATTATGAGGTGACATATCAATCTTTAAAAAACATTCGCTGGTTAAATCGTCCTGAAAGTAATTTTTCTGGTGTTGGGTTTTTCACAATTTCTGCTTGTGTACCTCGCTCTATAAATATTTTAGTACATGTTATAGACATTATACTGAACAACTCCTTTTAAGCCATGGAGTTTCACTCTACATATCTGTAACCCTACACATGGTGCAAAATGCTAATACTATATGCATCCCTAATCATTGAATGCTTACCATTCATTCTCTTTGTTGGTCATCTAGGAGAGAGATTAATCAGACAGATATTCATCATCTTGTTCATCTCCTTTCATTTCTTTTTTTGTTATTTTTGAAGCCTTCTATGGGTACAACATAGTAGATAAAAACGTTATTGATTAAATCTGTGGCATGTCTTTTAAACTATTGAGCTCAATCATACTTCCAAGTTGATTGTTCACTGCAATTTATCTATCAACTTGTTTGTATTGTTCTCATTCTGTTCTTTTCCTTGATGGAGAATAATAATATACATGGTAGTAATAATTTTCCCATTGTCTTGAGTAACATGTGAAAAATGTAACCAACACATTGGAATCTGAAGAAAGTGACTTGGTCTCCTTTATTGCTTTTTCAGAACTTCCCAGTGAGTGTGTTGAGGCCTTGACTGATTTGCATTGTTTATACAGCTTTACTTTGTATATTCACTCCTCAGCAGGTTTTCTTATTCATCTCACCCTTGGTGGACTTCTGTTTGTGAAAAGGATCATCAGTCTCAAAAGAGTTCTTGGAATATGTTATATAAGTAAATTTCTCGTTTACACCTCATTGCATTTTGGAAAGCTAAAAAAGGTAGGCCTGATTCATGAGACAATAAACATGAAAAATCTTAGATTAGGTTTATTTGCAGTATATATATATATTCCTTGAATTTCTCAGAAATTTTAGGGCAAGATGTAAAAGTGGGTGAGAAGTATGCATCCCATACATCTTTCGACCTTGCAGCTTGATGGAAAGTTAGTGGCTGAGTTGTCAGAAATTGCCTTTATTTTGATTTTTCTCATTGTTACAGTTCCTCTAATTGTTCACCTGAATTTCAAACCATTCAAACACAAGTTGTAAACATTCCTGTCCATTTGTAGTTTGATAATCTGGAGTTCTATGAAAACTGTTAACCATTGTGAAACTTCAATTAGTGCTACACCTGTTAGGTAAAACATTTCATACATTTGATAGTGTTGATTATGAGATTCACAACATCTCTTTATCTTCTTCTTTTGTTTTCATCAGATCTGGTAGGAGGGAAAAATTTCCTCTGTTGTGGGTTATTGTCATCATTTTTTCAAAGCTTAGAATCTCAAGAGTACCTCTACTTTTAGACTAATTATCTTGTCTAGATTCCCTTTAATTGGGTTATAAGAAGGTTGGTTAACGTTCATTTTGTTCGTTTACTGAATCAAATAATCGCCTTTCGAAAATTCATTGTAGTTTTTAGGTGAACCACCAGATAAGATTCCAGAACATATATTCTGAATTTAATTGTTAAAAAAAATAATCTATCAATACATTTTTGACCTATTAAACGCATATGACACTAAATAGAACTACAATACCTTAACACAAGGGTTTTCAAACTTTCTCAGCATAAGAACCCCAAAACATTTCACATCCTGACTGAGGCCTCCACCGAATGCACCTAACAGTATTGTATATTTTATGCATTTGCTATGTTCGGCTTTACACTTTTTTGTAACATCCAGTTTGGGAACCTTATGTTTTAGGAGAGTCATGTCATTTACCCATTTTTTTTATCTGTAAGAATGCAATACAAGAGCATTTGAATGGCCAATTAAATCCGTGATCCAGTGCAAACATTTAAATGATCTTGTAATGGGTCTAAGCATACTTCATGGTCAGTTTTTGAGTGTCACACTATTTGCAGTCAAGGTTAATGCAATTATAGAATAATTTCTGTCATATATTTCAAAATATCGCTTAATCAAATATTTGATTGGACTTCCACATTTGAGTCTTAGTTTACTTCTTTGGTTCATTTTCCATACCCATAAGCCTATATACTCGTGCGCACTGTAGCTCGTGCTAACGATATAACCATAGGATTTACTTGTATTCCAGTTTTATTTACTATTCACTATGTGAGGGGGGGTGTTTATTGTCCACTGTTTATTCACATGTACCTACTAATATATATAAGCTTTGTAAGTGGTTTTGGCTGACTAACAGGCTTTAGCCAGAATTATACAAGTTTTAACTGATACTCACTACTGAAGTGTGGTATTAACATGTTCTGTGCCTAGTGCTAATATTAGCAAGGATTTTTTGTCGTTAAATACATGTATTACGAAGCTATAAGTATATAATTAGATATTATCTTTAACATGTCTTCTGAATGTTCAGCTAGCAGAGAGAAAAAAAATGCTGGCTTTAGTTATGGAAGTCCAGTTGACACAATATGTGAATCCCCAAGCTGTAATATGTCAAACTGAACATCCAGTTTGTAATGCACAGAATAATACGGGAACTGGACATCCAGTTGCCACAACTAAGTGTAGCTTAGATGCGTATTCTTGTACAAATGATGCAACTAAACCAACACCAACACATGAGCATGCGCCCCAAAACACGCAGCCGCTACCGTGAGTCATTTTACACGATGTGATTATCTTCAAAATCGGCCCCTCTGAAACTCACCCATTACTACACTTTAAATATTTGACACTGTAAACCATCAAGACTTTAGTAGTTACCACATAACAAATGAAACGAATCCTTGGAATCATTGCCAAGATATAGCCTAGCTGAATCAGACCATAGTGTTTGTTTTCTTCTTTCTTTTCTTTTTTTTTTTTCGTTTTTCGCACACCCATTTTGTTTTTATGGAGGGCGTGTTTAATTTTTAAACCTCAGCCATAATCTCAAACATTGTCCGATTGATTTGAAATTAATATCAATACTTCCTTTTTATTTCGGGGTTTGTTTTATACTTTGCCTCATACTACTGTTCACCACTGCACTTCGATTAGCCCACTTGGAAGATGTTTGAACAGGTTGGCCTAAAAGACGTGTTTACTTTTCCCTTGGCCGCGCCCTCACTACCGCGTGTCTTGATATCTTCAAAATTAAAAAGTGTTTATTTTATTGACAATTTTGAACTTGAACGTATAATTAACAATTATTTTCTAAATTCAAGTGATAATGTGTTTGTAGTGAAGGAATTTCTTCTAGAGTGATTCACAATGGATAAATTGTTTGGCAGTGAAAAAACCCTGATAAGTTGATAAAAGAATATTACCAATATATCTACATGCTTAACTTTTGGGCAAAGTTTAGTAATAAATGAAACTTACACTCATAAGATTCATTGTATTTGCTGAAACTGAAGGACCTGATGAAGTTTGGTATTATATGAATTTAGTAAATGTAATTTCAAGGAAGTCTTTAAGAAGGTCAGATCAATTCATTTATTGAGACACACTTGTATTAAATCAATTGTGTAAATTACAATGTTATCGTAAACTGAAATACTTTATTCCATTTATATCATATAGGAGATTTCCAAAACAAAGGCTTGTGTTATTCCAGGTCATCTGATGTCAGAAACGTCAGGTGCTTTCCTCTCAAATGAGGAGGTTCTGAACAGTAGCCCCAAAAACTTGTTGGAAAACTATAGTCGAGTATCCACCGTAGTCGATTATCACAAACAATGGGATTATCTGTAAAAAAAATGAAGACGATACATGAATGAATTTGCCAAAACAACCACAACACAAAAATTGATAAATTGCGATATGATAAAAAAACTATTTTGCTTGGTGACTTATTCAGAAGCATTAATTTGTCTAGAATTAACCTAACTGCAAAATCATATCATCTTGAAATTACCGCAATTGTTTTTTCCGAACTATATGTTATGTCGTGTTTATATATTTTTAAAGGGTTTATTAGATGTCTTTTTGTAAATACATAACTACATGCGTCCCAGTGGCACGGTGGTATGTCTGCGGACTTATACTTCTAGAAACCAAGTTTCGATGTCTGTGCTCAGAAGAGCACAGGTAGCCCATTGTGTAGCTTTGTGCTTAATAACAAACAACAACATAATTACACAAGATTTGTAGATAAGGATAATGAATAAAGTTGATCAGAGAAGCCGTATTATTTTCTAGTTATACAGAATAGAGCTAACCAGAAAGACCATTTATTTCTAGCTATACAAAATACAGCTTATCAGAAAGGTCATCTTACCGTTTAGCCATACTGAATCCAGCTGATTCCATACAGGTTTCCAGGTAGCCTCGTCTAACACGGTTATGTTGTTACTTTCCAAATATATATCTTCTAAGTTGTGCATATTAGTGAAGAAATCTCGTGGTAACTCGTTAATCTTATTATAACTACAAAACACATAAAAAGTATATTTTTTAAAGCTAGCTTTCTCATGTACTACTGTTACACAAGGTTGATGCGTGACAGGTAAAACAAGACTGTTACTGAATGGAAACAAAATAATATAAAAAATTACCTACTTCATTCATTCAAAGAAACTACCAAATTATAAATTAAATCCAATCTTGTTATAAAGAAAATTAAGCAGCATCTACAAACAGTATATTAACAAAACATTGAATCGATTAAGAAAGAGTATTACAAATACAAATATTTAACAATCAAGTTTTAAAATAAACAAAGATACAGAAAAAAAACTAGTTTTACTAAAACCAGAGCTACATAAACTTTAGTCAACTATTAAGACTTAAATGCACTTCTTTCACTGCAAAATCTGTATAATGAACGTGATGATTAATATAAGGGCTTTAATGATAACCGAATAACAAAAAGCATCGACATTCGAGCCCCTTCATCTAGCTTAGCTGATAATGATAAATGTGCTGTCACAACATTATTAGAGCAATGCTCAACTGCCGATAGATCATTACGTTTAAAACTATTACCTGATATCCAAAATTTGTAGATTATTTGGAAACATGGATCGATAAACGCTGGAAATTCTATTTTCTGAAATACTCAAATAAGTGAGATTGGTTAGATGAGCAAAGGCTGTTTCACCTAAAGTTTCTATTCCATTTTCATTTAAGAAAAGCTCTATGAGGGACTTTGGGCCATTCAAAAACCAGTCGTCAACAACGTCGAAAGAATTCCAGATCATTTCCAGTATCATCAAATTTGTAAAGTGATTGAAGAATAAATTTCCCGATCCTCGTTTTAGACTTTCCATTATGTAAACTTCCTCTATTGACTCAGAGTTACCTTCTAAGAATGGAGCATCTTCTTCAGGTATAGGATCTAGGTTCAAACTATGAAGTGATAAGACTCTGAAAGTTATATCTTTGAACAGTAGTTTTGGAATTCTTTCTAATTCAGAATTTCCTAACTCAATTTCGTATATTGGGCCATAATCTTTTAACACTTCCACCAAATTTGATATATTCTGCAAGGATGAAATATAGGGACAGTAGATTGACAATCCTTCTGAGAAAAGAGAACAAGAACAAGGTTCTATTTCACCAGGCTCTGGGCAACCATGCGTTTCTGACGAGAAAGAAAGACTTTCTTGACCATGTGGTAGTGCCAGTGCACTGCACCAGAAAAATATCACGAGATGTGCACAACAGTTCATGCCTAGAAAATAAATAAGAAGTATATATTAACGTATTTCTCAAGTTATATAAGGTAACTTCACATAACTTCGAACCTGCTAATGATTTCGCTCTGGTAATGGTTCTCCTCAATCTTTCCTTCTTACACCTTTATTAATATTTATTATTTACTGCATGAATTCTAACATTCATTTTTTTGCAAAAAACAATTTTAATTAGATTATCTAACACCAAAAGAGAACAATGACAAACAAATAAAACATAGCTTCCGAAGTTTATAGCACACTGATTATAGCATATAGTAAAAAAATTGTCTAACACCAATTTTTAATTCTCTAAGGAGGGAGTTGTGACGGATTTACTATTACATATTTATTTTAATATCAGTGTTTGTTTAAATTAAATTATTACTTAGAAATGTACATAACTTGTACTGTTAAATATGTATTGCGAAATTATTGCCTATTCTCTAAAGTTGTAGAAGATTCTCGAATGTAAGAATTAACAATATATGTGTGTATGTAAACGCTAGTGTTAGCATCGGTACTGTTACGTAAAACAGAAATTTCGAGAAACTCTCCACACGCCTATAAATATAACCAACGCGACGCGACTAAAAACAGTATCTGTTATTGGTTTGCTATAATTAGTGTGATATAAACTTCGGAGGCTATAACCGTGATTGTTATAACGCTTATTAAAAACGTAAGTTATTTGACCAGGAATATTTATAAATTTCGAACATTATAAACCATTTAACTTCAGTGAATTCACAGTGGACATTAGTACTTTTCATTAAGAAAACACTACCCAATTTCATCGGTGGGAAAAAATCGGCCTATAATCGGTGAAGACCACAGAGCTAGCTAGCTCCCTATTAAGTGAATTGTATTTACGTCAACTCAAAATTAACTCGCTCATCGTGAACTCTTGATAAGATATCAAGTAAGTTCCAGATTAGAAAGAAGACTTTATATTGCTTGTAAGTTTGTAAAACTTTTGCATATAAATCGTTGTTTGTAATAACTATTTGTAATAACCGTTATTGAAAATTGTATTATTGTTTGTATATTAAAATATATTTGTATTAAAAAAAGAAAATTGTGTGTGTATCAATCTTGTTGGCAAATATCATAAATTGGATACATATCGGCATTTACTTAACTACTAAATCTAAAGTACAATTTAACTCAATTAATAATTTAAGTTTTAGGCTATTTGAAATTGTAATATGTAACACATTTTATATGTCTATCCACTCCATGACGTTGCTGAAGCTAAACTTCATTGAAAGAACCAACTAAAAAAATGTTTTTTAAAATTTAATAATTATGTATTAAGCGTTACAGATTGTAATGAAAATAAATGAGGAAATTGAATTAAAGGAAATTTGTGACTTAGCATACACTTAGTTATACCGTAGAAGAAATATATATATTTCTGCAAACAATTATGATTTATTTTTATAGATTTTACTCATGGTTACTAAAGTCTTAGGAACTTTATGGTTTAATGGTTAGCGTGTGGGGCTGGGAATGTTCTGGTTTCGAACTGCGATATGCTGCAGAACACAATACACTGTGGAAGGGCTATAAATATGTAGAACAATCCCGATAATTATAATCAGTTAAAATCAGCCGCGTACATGACAGGTGTACCTCATTGATATTCACTCTTTTACTTCTTGTTAGTAATATTAAATTAGGAATAGTTATTCCTGAACTTTAAGGATTTCTGATCTATCCATTTAGTCTCTAATGTACCGTTCATGTTGAAAATACTGAATACATAGTAAATGGGAACTTAAAAGGGAAAATGCTACCGACCAGGCCGAGAAAAGATATTATTTTACATTGTTTCCTCTTTCCACCCTTCTTTAGAATTTACTTGGGAAGAATCCGACACAACACTCCCCTTTCTTGACACTTACATATACATGGAAGACGACCATCTGACCACTAGTATACATTAGAAAGAAACACATTCATACACGTACCTATATTTCAAATCTTCCCTCTGTACAGTAACAAAAAGTCAATACCTTACTCGCAATTTCTACGACTACGCAAACCATCTAGTGATGATAACGACTATAAATCCAAGACATAAAAACTTTCTTATCTAAAGGACACTTCCCTGATTCTTCTCATCTACAATACAGCCACCAAAACTAGCTCATATACCCAGAAGCAAACACTCAACCCTACGAAGAGACCAATAAGAAGATCAAATATATTATACTAAACAGTTACACTATACGCACCCATTATTTCTTATAGACATGACAGAAACCTAAAAGAAATCATGGTGCACAGTAACGTTAAACAAAATCAAAATGATACTCCAGACACTCACACATGTAAACGAAACAGGTGTGTCATTTGCCCACATATAAACAGCACTGCACACATACGAGAAAAAACATAACTTTCAACATAAGACAATTCCTTACATGTGCCAATGAATGTATCATTTACTGTATAACTTGCAATAGATTGCAAAAATGCAATAGTTTATACAATGGGCGATCAAGCACGAGAACATCTGAACCATATTTAACTATGGAAACAAGATACACCTATAGGCAAACATTTCACTATCAACAATCATACAGTTGAGGACTTTTCGATACTTGGACTTATTAGTGCTCCAACAGACATTCACAAAAGAGAACGACTGGAAAGGAGATTAATGTACAATCTGGGGACTCTACAACCATTTGGTTTAAATGAACGCTATTTTTTTCTCTACATATTAATTTTCCATTTTTGCTTAAATTATAATTGAAACGTATTTTATCTTTTCATGACTTGTAATATTAATGTAAAAGATGTAATTTTGCACAGAAATTTCACACTCATTCCAAATACTACGCACGCAATTTCTTTGAATTCTACGTATGCACCTTTGTTATAAGCTATACGATCAGACGAAGAATCATCCTTCTTTAAATAACAAGAGGGAATCCTCAATAGCCGCGGCACTTATTTTATTTTTTATTAGCTAAATTTGTGTACGCCAGTAAAACCAAGTGTGGGGTGCACGTATACCCTATTCAATTTTATTACTTATCAGAATCTCTACTAGCCTACCCTAAAATTGATTTTTTTTCCTTAGGTAGGATTAGGGTAAATTAATCTATAAGACCTTGGGAGTGTTAAAATACCCATCAATCGAAAGAGATTGATCTTTTGAGTCCAAAACTGTAATTACATCTCAACTCGGTTAAGAGACGACGGAGCTATGAGCTAAAAGTTTGTACTTGAAAAACACAAAACTGAGAGCCGTTCTATAAGCTGCTATGCCGTTGCTGAAATTATAACAAAAACTTGGCGATTGATCAACCTATTCTTTAATTTCGATATCTTTGTCGCCTATGCATTTTTAATTATATATTTCATACGTAAACTGAGACAAGAGATAATCAAGTAAATTCTGATTTTACTCTACTCTTCGTTATATAACCATTGTCTTCTTAAATATGAATGATCGGAGTGCGTGCTTGCTTGCGTATAAAAATGCCAATTCGGTGCCTTTGCTGTTAAGGGCGGTTTAGCCGCCACAAAGATGAAAGGTGGAAAATTAAGGAAAAATAGTGATATTTTTATTGAATTTATAATTGAAAACTAATCAGTTTTTTAGAGTAATAGATAGGAATGGTCAACATAGAAACGACAAATTACGATTTGACACACGAAAGTGTACGCTTATAATTCGTAGCATAAATGAATATTATTTCCTCCTTATTTTTAGGCGCTGTGGATCACGACTACTCATATTTACTTGTTTGTATTTTATTTTGTGTAAACTTTAGTTACAAAATTATTTTCATTCATCAAAGCTATATTAAAAATCTGAGAATATACAAAGTAAAACTATAATAATGATTTCCACGTTACTGACGGTGAACGAGCAGACATAAGTTCTAAACACTTTTTCTATCTACAAATATTTGAATCTTCAACAACCAAACTCCTGTTGTTACAAACACATTCAATTTTAAAATGTGTCATTTCAAACTTCGCACCAGTTTAGATTTTCTTGTATACTTACAGAAAGTAAAGCCTCGACCTTATGAAACAGCTTACCTTATTTAATCTTGAGGCTCTCAGTTCTTGTCCCGTTAACTCAAATCCTTTGTAGATTAACTTCTGTAGTGAGCTTGGGTATATTTATCTATATAACCCACCTGATTCGTGTAAATGATTCTCACGTAAACGCATACGATAGACAATCAAAATAATAATGGGTAAAGATTGCTCTATCTCACATATGTTTACTATAAGCAATTCTCACACAAGCGGATATGTTAAAAAATTACAAATAAAAAGTATGCAATGGCTACTAGAGTTACATAAAAATACTACTATTTATATTGTATATGAAGAAACTGGAAAGGAACAAATCTGGAAAGAAGAGCGTATAAGCATGAGAAGATGTAGACGCAGGATAAATAAATTGAACAAAGCAATGCTGCTTAGAACTACAAAGAGTAAAAAGGAATAGAAAGGAAATAATGATATAAAAAACAGAATCCAAGCATTAGGTTACTCTCATAGAGAACATAAATAAATATAGAACAAGATTTAACATTCCTACTGGGCAGTTGAAAAATAAATAAATGGACAATTAATAGAAAATAAAATAAATTACTCAAAATATAACGAAGTTTATAAAGAAATCTAACAAAAGTAGATAAAAATAACGTATTTACACAATCATAATTTAAGATAAGATTATTGCAGGTTGTATAAGTTTAAATTAATTAAAGATAAATAAATAATGTCCAAAAGAAGAAAATAGACAAAGTGGTTTATTTCAATATGACCCTTTAAGTAGAATGTAAAGGGTGGAAAAGGGTTTAGTTTAAACTAGGGTGATGCTGAAAAAGAGAGATTTTGGGTGAAGACGGAAAGTATTTAGAAGACTTAAGACATCTCAAAAAGCATTTACGGATGAGAGATAGTTATGAACTAATAGTGTAGGATTGGTTGTATTGAAAATATGTTAACACTGCTGGATGTGATAATTGAAACTAAATATATTAACTTAATATATTATAGTTATCTATATTTGATGATGAAATAGGTTAAATAAACGAGTTTGGAGATATTAATTATGTTGTATGTATCTAGATGTATTAGAAATTACCATTTTCTTTGATTCAAGAGGGTAATATAAATTAGCTTAATGTTATTATTATAAATTTACGCGATAATGAGTTGGAATCATTGTTTATATATATCACGGATTAAGATAATATTGATTTCACATTCTAAACTAATCAATGTTGTTCAGTATTAAGACTAGTGATTTTATAATTAATTTTCCATTTTATCCAACGGAGTTTCTAATACAAATTGTGCTACATAGAACTATATATGGCCAAAACGTCCAACCACATTTTTTATTAAAGTAAAAATTACGTCAAACAACTTCACGGGTTCATTTCCTACTCAAAGTGACTGACAACGTAGGTGCAGTCATAGCTTGAATACTCCCATGTCCCGATTTATATTAAGCACACTCTCTCAGAAAACAACAGTACTTAGAAAGTCAGATCCACGTGAAACGGGAGCACCAGATTTAAATTTTTAGTGTCTTTACTAGTAACATGGCACCTTAGCAGGTCGACACAAGTTAATGTTTTGTCGATTGATTCACATGCGTATCTTTACTAGTAACATAAAACTTTGGCAAGTTAGTACAAGCTAGTGCCTTGTCTATTGGTTTATTTGCATAGCTTTACTTAATGTATAGTGTTTTTACTACTAGCATGGCACCTTAGTAGGTTGATACAAGTTAGTGCCTTGTCTATTGGTTTACTTGCATAGCTTTACTAAATGTATAGTGTTTTTACTAGTAACATGGCACCTTAGCAGGTCGACACAAGTTAATGTTTTGTCGACTGATTCACATGCGTATCTTTACTAGTAACATAACACTTTGGCAAGTTAGTACAAGCTAGTGCCTTGTCTATTGGTTTATTTGCATAGCTTTACTAAATGTATAGTGTTTTTACTACAAGCATGGCACCTTAGTAGGTTGATACAAGCTAGTGTCTTGTCTATTGGTTTACTTGCATAGCTTTACTTAATGTATAGTGTTTTTACTACTAACATGGCACCTTAGTAGGTTGATACAAGCTAGTGTCTTGTCTATTGATTTAAATGGAAGTAAATCAATAACGCAGGTTTCAAGTGTAGGTTAGGAGAAATATGACTCTTACCTGTAAAACTAAAGATTTAATTTACTCCATTAAGACATAAGTAGTCAAACGAAGATTTTTTCTTCTGCTTGGACAGTATTCTGGTTCACGGATATCCAGCAGATAAGTTAGAATTTATCCGTTAAACGCAGCTATAGATATATACTGCAGAGTTTAATTTCGAACTCGGACAGCATAGAAAAGAAACAAATACAAGTGAACAAATATACGAAATATGTATCCATTCCCAGTTATATGTATAACTTACTGATTTAGCTCACTGGACGCCGCCATACTAGCTCTTGGATTTGAGATGGATTAATTCCAAATTATTATTGTACGATACAATAGCACTTATGCGAAGACAATAAAGGGATAACACGAAACACAAAGTAAAATCAAAATTCAATTCCATTCAAACATAAAATGAAATTCAAAATCATAATACAAAATTCAAAATAAAGAAAATCAAAATCAAATTATAAAATATAATGCAATAAACTCAGAATGGGGATTCAAACTAAGGTATTTATACTTGTATTTTACGTTTTATTGGAAAGCTATTAAGACTGCCCACTACTGTCCTTAAACTGGAACTATAAGCAGAACAAAGGCAGCTAGTCAACATCACCCTACGATCTGTCATCCACGCTAAAGGATTGACTGTCATTTTTATAATGCATCTACAGTATGAAATGCAAGGAATATTTTGAGGTATTGCATGGATTCAAGATTTGCTTGCCACCTTCAAAATTCACAGCGCTACCGAGGGATCAACCCGCACTCTGAAACTAAAAAAAAATAATATAAAACCATAAACTTGTTAACACATCAAAGATAATTAAAAACGTACAAATAAAAATTCTAAGCATTACACATAAAATTCTAAGACCTTTAGAGTGGAAATAAAAAAATAATACATAACAATGTGTCAATGACTCTATTATCTACTATAGCTAGTGCCGATGAGACGTTTTGCTCATTTACAAGCTCATCAATATAGTTGAAATGCAGCAGAAACAGTAGTGTTTCAGACGCTTTTTATATTATGAAAAACATCTGTTATGGTGTGAACTATATTAATTTGGCGACGTATAATTTTTATTAATTTCACATGAGCCATTCAAAATCAAAATTATGGCAAGAATTACTAAAAAAAAATAAAATTTATTTTATTTCAACACCAATTATTTAGTGTTATTGTTTATAGTTATTTGAATTAATTTTATTCATCATTTAGAAGAAATGGTGACCCTGGAAGTTAAACTTATTAATATAAAATATAAAACAAAATATGATTCAATATAAAATAAGTACAAAAGAAATAGAATTAAGTTTAAAATAGAAAGAAGAATCATAATAAAAACTTAACATACATTTGAACATATTTATAATTATGCAAGTCTTGCTGCAATTTGGACTGTTCAGAAGTCTGGGTATCTTCTCTGATTGTAGTGGTATTCTCAGGACCCTTTTCCCAGGGTCAACTCATCAGCATCAGACTAGCAACAGTTGATAATGCAGACACTTTAATTAAGCGACAATCACGTCGTTGCTTCATATGAGGAATTTGATTCTGGCTGAAGTCGTTGGGGCTGTTTACCACAGTGAATGCTATAGTTTGTCAGGCTATTCAAAGATCTATGACATCATTGTCAAGTCAGGGTTGAAACCTACAAGTCAGGAAGTCATGGCTAAACATGCTGCAACGTTTTCTAGGAAAAGGCTTTTGGATACAAATGTGGCGCAACTACCATGTCTTGTTACGTCATTCATGTCGAATACACTTGTCACCATCAGGTCAGAATAAATACAATCCAAGCATTAGTGGATATGCAATCCACATAGCTTCTTATGAAACAACGCATGCACAGCTACCTTGACTACGCCCTTTGATCATGCTGACCCCTGCTAACACTCACTGGTCTGTGAGTTAAGACATCTCACATACACTTTAATTCTTCTGCCGCTATCTGGTTGTCCTGATTTTCAAAGAGACAGAGCCCGGGTCAATGGCAAAGGAGGTGAATAAAATTGAAAGAAGACATATTTTTATTGTTAATTGAAATTAAGCCAAATTGCTTTCCAAACAAAGCTTCTTTACCCTCAACTACAACTAGCCTACTGAAACAACTTAAACATAATTTGAATAAATAAACAAAATCAAGGCTGACTGGCTGATTTCACAAATAAATCCAGAATTATATCTATTCAGTCTACACCAAAATTAATGCAGTTAAGGTAAAATTTGTGAATTGTGACTACCTCAATTGTTCAGAAAGTAAGGGTGACATTCTTCTTTGGTCATCAGTACATTTCATTTGATACTTGAAATTTGCTGATTGAAGCAGATAACTTCCCTCTGTGAATGTGAATCGTATAAACACATGATTGACAAATATTTACCATTGGTAAATGACCTTGTCTTTAAAAATAACATTAATATTTTGTCAGGTGCAGTAGAATGATATTTCACCAATAATACCTTTGGTCAAAACTGAGTTGTCTACTAACTAGTTTATTTTTTTAATAAATATTAGAGAATTTCTTTTATTTTTGTTGTTTGAATACAATAAACTCAACACTACATTCAATAAGTTTAAATTCGATGACGAGGAACCCACTTTGAGACTAATAATGGCTGGAGACGGCTTAAATGGGTAATGAAGAAAAACTTTAATATAAGTTTAACATGAAAGCAAATGTACAACGTTTCGACAAGGTTTTGATGATGACAAAACCTTGTCGAAAC